AAGAAAAAGCATAATCGAACAAGAATGTGGTTCATTCTGAACACAGAGAGGCCCCCCTGTTATAAGAGGGTGTGCACACTTCTGCAATCACTATCTCAGTCGTTTATTTTTACTTCTTGTGTTGAAGAAACATTCGCTGAATTGTACGAGTAGTTCACAATTATGGTGGAAAAGTTTTGAAATTGTTGATCCTTGTCTCTTTTTTTTTTTTTTTTTCAATATCACCACAACCTGAAATCACCCAAAAATTGACAAAAGGGGTGTGTAGCCCTCTTTATATCCACTGCGTGTCTTTAGAACTACGGTCTTTTGAAGTTTTGAAATGGTTAATTTTAGTCTTTCTCTTTTTAAAAAAAAATATATATATATCACCACAACTTGAAACCACCCAAAAATTGACAGAGGTGCGTGGACCTCTTTATATCCACTGTGTGCGTGTCTACAGTGATACCGGAGAGCCATGTTCGATGAGCATTTGCTTACTTACTTCCCCACCCCCTTCAAACCGGTTTGACTGGCCACTGTGTTCACTTCGTTGACAAGTTCAAACCGGTTTGACTGGCCACTGTGTTCACTCAGTTGACAAGGACAACATTTGTACAGCCCACAAAGGCGGGCCAGTGCTGTTGCCAGGCGGAAGACTATTTTTTAAGAACTCTTCCTCATGCAGTGGGCATGCGCTGCGGCGTCAAAACATCTCATTGGTTAGCAACGGGGGCGGGGTGTATACCGCAGCCTCCTGAGAGCCGCTAACAAAAAATGCGGCATTGATTCAACAGCCATTTAGCAAGGTTTGGGTGGCACCATTGGAATTTGCGGACAAAATTAGCTTCAAATGGCCATGATTTGATGAATACTGTACTGTGGTGGGTCTAATGAGAGGGAGTCTGTTGAGATTTTGACATTGTTTTCCTGCCCATTACGAGTATGCGAAATGTAATTTGAACAAATTGGTTATTTCTGAAGCATGTTTCAAACTGGGAGCCCTTTGCACGAATCAGCGGCCAAGAAGTAGCTCTCAGCCGCAAAAGGATTGGGGACCCTAGCTGTACGATGACCTGAATGAACGAGAATATTCACAGGCATACATTTATTAAGGTGAAAATGATAAACAAAGCAAACAATCTCTTATCTAACTGACAACACAAGTGCATTATTTAACAAAATGAAACCATCATGGTAACTGGCAAATGTTTCACCATCGTTTTAGCCTCATTTTCACTTTGATTATTTTCACGCAGTATTTTGATGTTTATTGCATGCATGGCAGGATAACTCTCTGTTGACTGCCCAAAAAGGACCTTCAGGCTAGCTGGATTATTAATATCCACTTATCCCCACCAATTTTGAGGGTTTTGGGGAATGGAGACAAAGTTATATCCACTACGGGAGGTACTAGCTTTTATAGCACGCATAGTCATTTCCGACTCAAAATGATTTTGCTTTTCCTTGTCCCAATTCTAACAATGATGAAAGTTCGAAACATTTGTGCCTACTTCTTCAGGCCTTTAAAATGCCATAACGTCCTTAATTCTTAGCATTTTACCCAAATGTAAGCACCGTTCTGGTATTTTATTCCACCTCTTTCAGGTGACATTGGTCTCACTGGAAAAAGAATGTTTTTAATTTTATTGCCACGTCCCTAATCAATGTAAGGAAATATTTAATGTAGCAGTTTGAAAATGAACCAACCACCTTAAATGTAGACTTATTTCTGGCAAAACAAAGAGATTGTTAAAAATGTTAAAGTGCTTGTTGTTATCATGCAATTGGAACTGTCTTATTGAAACCTGCCAAGAAAGGATGTCATTGTCAGTTAAACATTTCTTTTAAATCATCTCCATTAGCTTTCCTTGTAGTAAGCCAATATTTTACTTTCATGAAATAGGAGTATAGACAGCATGTGTTCACGGTCCTGTAGCGTCAGGAAACAACGGGACGACGACGATGTGAGCAGCCTTCAGTGGCGGCCATTGCTCTCGCCGCACAAACAAGGCAGGAGAGGAAGTGGAGCTTCGCTTACGTCGCTGCGAGGCAAAAAGTGGGCAGAGCCGGCGAAGGATATGAGCTCGTCGGGAGGCGGAGAGGAAGGACACACGCCACAGAGAAGCCATGCGAACAACATCGAGGAGAGAGCGCGCCCGAGCCTCGCCGCCCAAACGGTCACCAAAACGGCGAAAATGGCCAGAAAACAGCACGCCGAGAGGGGCAGACGACAGCGGATAGTCGCATCCGAGGGAGTTGGTAAGAACTATTCCCCCAATACACTTTAAAAGGCGGGAAAGCGCGTCGACCGGGCGGACGAGGCAAGATGGTGGAAAAGGACGGCTGGTAGACGCAGTGTTGTAAAAAAATGGCCATGGTGTGCTGGCTGTAATAAAGACAACGACCTAAACGATGAAATTCGCTCGATCTTTAGTGGCTTTTGGTGTAAAATCACTTGTTTGCTCGCTTTACATTGTATTTACATCGATGGTATTTGACGAAGGGTCTTTTTCTCGAGTTTTCTTCTTGTCCCTTCAACCTACGCATTTAAAATTTGCTTTGTCCTTGAAGGGACAAATGCCCTTGTGTGGTTTTTCTCGAATAAAAGCCTAAAAATCCGGCAAATGTTTAGTTTTTAAACCGCGTACTGGTGCTTTGTGACAAATCCTTTGTTGGTTTGTGTGTTTTGATGATTTTCCCTTTTATAAGCATTTTTAAGGGTTTTCGTCGAATTGTTAATTTTATTAAATGGCAAAAAAGACACGTTTTGTCCCCCACATAATCTATTATGCAATTGAACATGCATCGTAAAAAGATATTTCAAAGTCTTGCACAATTTAATGTTTAAGAAATATTTTTAAAAATAATTTAAAAAAATCTAAATACAGATTTACAACAGAAGATTAACTGAGGACTCCCCATATGCATTGCACTTGTTATGTTCAGCAAATGAAGCCCAACATGTGAAAATACTTAATATATATGGATATATAAAATAGGGTGTTGGCTTTTAACCCTTTAAGGGACTGCATGGAGATTTTATTTCAAATTTGCCATACATTTTGCATCGCTGTGTCACATTAAACCTGCAAGCAACCCTTAAGCCATTATTTTAGAGAACATGAACACACATTTATGTTGAGTTACCTTGAAATATTGCACCAAAATGGGAAAAATTACTAAATATTCGTAAAACCCCAATCCAATAGACAGACTATTGGTTAGTGACACTTGTAGACAATTACAAGTTGGTAAAATATTTAACTTGACGTGAATCTCAAACTATATATTGTTGAATGGAAGAATTACTCTACATTGGGGAAAAATATCTTTGCTCACAGATTCCCTATAGGTTTGGACTATAGAGAGCAAAAAATAATTGTCCCCCAAGAGATGTTAAACATTTCCCCACTAACTAAGCAAGTTGCCATGATAATTAAACACAATTTAACTGCATGCTGGAGATATTACATGAAATATCTAGAAGCAAAATATATATTTTTTAAATGATCATGCTTTTAAAATTCCAATCATTTTGTATTTTAAAGGGGTTCCATTTGGTCGATAACGCAGTGCGGTATAGAAGGATCAGATCGTCTACCCAAGGAAAATGGTATGTGGTTTTTTTATCCTTTTCCGATGTTTAGAATCATATTTGCTGCCTCTTACATGTAGCCACTAGGGTGTGCTATTGGCTTGTATCATTTCGTAACTCAACTTTTTGTATTTTAAAGGGTTGACGTCGAGGCTACGAAGACGTTGTGGATGGATTTGTCCGATTTTCTCCCCAGAGTAGAATTGTAAGTGTTTTTCAAAGACTGAAAACATGTTTTCAAAATACTCTTAGGCTATGAGCTGCAAATTAAACACTTTGAACAGGTGAGAATGGAATTTGAAAAGTGTGCTAGTATGGTATCATTTTTGCTAATGTACAATTTCATAACTGCAATGTTGCCAAAACGTTTTCGCTGCTATACCACATGTGCTACGATTTCTTGCATTTTGTAAATAATGAAATATGTATAGCCGACTTTCATTTGTTATGATTTTTGCAACTGATTGCTAAATTACCGTCATTCCCAGACTACAAAACGCTCCTGGTTATAAGACGCTACTGCTAAAGTTAGCCATAAAAACAAATTTGTACATACATTGACCTCTCTGTATTAGTAGCCACGAGTCTGTGGTACGATTCTGGATATTTGCGAAGAAAAGGTCATACAGATGGACATTTTTAAAAAGTATTTTATTTTCCTTAAACATTAGTAGATGGTTTTTGTGTCCTAACATGCCAGAACAATTTGTAAGTCTCTTAATTGTCACACAAGGCAAATTCGCCTAAAAACTTCACGGTCAACAAACTACAGAGAGACGGGGGTCGCAATGAAGAGGTGGCTGTATTTATGGCACTTGTTCCCTGTTCATTAAATTCAACTCAACATGCTTATTTTCTTTCTCAAATGCTCCTTAAGCAGGCGCGAACCGCAACGTGGACGAACTTATGTGTTACTTTCTTCAGGCAGCCATTACGTGCACGCACTCCAACCGTAAATGGCTGAGTATTCAGTATGAGGGCGGACTCAAGATAGTTTCATTGGTCCACTGTTCGATGATTACAATACCAGTAACAGTGGATGGTAGGGGTACATGGATCACAATTATCTGGCCCATCACCGATCTTAAAAAAGAAATTTGACCTGCCGATCCAGATTTTTGACAATGCCGATTTTTGTTGTTGATTTGTTTGTTTGTTTTTTTTCCATAACCAACAGCATACACCTTCAATATTCTGATCTTTTGTTGTAAAACACGTGAGATTACAGTATATACAAACAGGTTGATTTAACTGCACATAAGTAGTTCTCGCAAGTAAAAATGAAGCCCATTAGTCATATCACAGCTGTTGAGGACACTGACTGACTTTCAGACCTCTGTGGAGGGAAATGAGATCGGTGGACCAGATCGGCTTCATTTTAAGAGATCGTCCCATCACAATCCCCCCCACCCCCCCAAATGTATATATAAAAATACAATCAATGAAATCTGCGTCAATCCCGATCCCGGCTGATCGACTGGGGCACCCCTAGTGGATGGGTCGTCAAAATTAATAGAAATCTCAGCACGTGAGACGAACACAAAAGTGACATCACATGAACACAATCAACCAAAGGTACTGTTAATGGAACCAAATGCAATGGCTGTTACTATAAATGGTGTTTTGTTTTAGAACCTTCTTAGCAAATATGTAACATACATCCCTCCGTTTTCTGAGCCGCTTCTCCTCACATGGGTGAAGGGGCACGCTGGAGCCTATCCCAGCCGTCGTCGGCCAGTAGGCGGGGGACACCCTGAACTGGTTGCCAGCCAATCGATATGTCACCTAAGATTCTTTTTAGTTCTTCAAATACTAAGTCTTCATTTTCACGACTCAAGCAACGATTAAGGAGTCTGAAAATGTTTTGTCCAACCTTGTCTGACCCTCTTTGAAAATGAATTTGACTTTGCCAGCACAAACACACACCTGTTAATGGCAGTAATGATCCAGCCAAAGTTATCTCTTTTATATCAGCTCACTCGTTCATTGGATATCACTTACTGTTGTCCTCATCTCTTCCACAGAGGAGACATGGGCTGGTAGGAGGATTTTTCAAATTGGGATCATAAGAAGACAGCTCTGTAAGTTCTTGTTTTTGTGTGTTTTATTTTTCTCCCTCCCACCCCCTAGTTGTATCTTTGGTGTAGAAAAAGTCATCCTTTTAAATGGAATCCTGAAACTATTTTTTCCCTCCAAGATGACTGTCCATTAACTTGACGATATTTTCAAATGACGTTTACCTTCAATTCTTGAGCCTTGCAACAGCCCTCACTAATTTGCAGCATAAAAATTCATCGCGAAGCGTCTTTTCAACGAGATGTGCACGGTTCGGCCCAGTTTGCCAGAACAATCACAGACCCACCCACTTCTCAATACTGTACACCTGTTGGGTGCTGGTTGAATTGGGGGTGGAGCCAGGCACTGCTGTCTGTTGATTGGTCCATCTTAGCCCGTAACAAATGAAGCACCGTTCCAAAATACAAATTGCCGGAGTAGCCCTTTCCGTTTTTATTTGTGGCCTTGGCCCATGGGGACTGCACATGTTTGGTTTATTATGATTTTTTTTTTTTTTTTTTTTTACTGGTGAGTTCCACCACACGCAGCTGGTATAAACTGAACTGTACCACCTGCTGGAAAGTGGGTGGATTTAGCGTTCCCTCTGAATGAAAAGGTATTTGCCGCCATTGATTTTGAAAAACAGTGCTTGATTTTTAACACTCCTGGGCTCAAACTAATAATTGTAATAAACGGAGGGAATAATTGTGAGTTCATGGTTGTAAAATATGTTTTGTCTACTTTTATACAGCGAATCATAAATGAACTCCATTTTGGGGGCGGTGCAAATTTCATGTTGTTGTCCATCAACCAATGGTATCACGTCTTCTGTATCATATTAGATGGGGCCAACATTTAAAGTGGATAAATACTTTGACGAACCAAGACAACCTGGTGGTCTACTTCCACTATCTCAGTTCAAGAAGTTTCATAATCGCGATGAAACATTATGCGGAAAATCTCAATGGCAGTGAATGATTCCTCTTTAATCCAAATAAAACTCAAACCTTGGGTCTTGTTCCGAGGTCATTAGCGGTTGAAAATATTTCAAGTGATTTTCATTGAAGACCTAGAAACGGTAACCAACTGTCTTGAATCTGATGTGCGCTGTCGCTAAACCATTGACTTCCTCGATTGTTGAGTCACTTGCCTATGTTTTTCCATTTTAATTTTATTTTTTGTTGATTCAACTTTTCTGGCATGACCGGTGACTGCTGTTGAATATTATTATTACAATAGGTATAATAAAACCTGGAGGTTTTGTCTTGGCCATACCTCGAATCCTCTAGTGGTCAATTGTTGAATTGTTTTTTTTTTTCCCCCGAACAGTTATTAAGATTTGACCACGTTCCAATTTTTTGCCAAGTGTGGGACAGTGAGTGATCATTTGACATGTGCTGTGGGCTTACGAAATGTTTCCTTCTTTTTTTTGTCTCATCAAGACCCCATTCAACTGGATTTCGCTGACAATGGAGACGACATTAAAACGTGAAGATAGCGTTGTTTAACGTGAAGATGGCAATTTTTGACAAGCGGAAACCTTATTTATTTTTTGACGGCGACTTTTTGTATGGATTTTTAAAAAGACTTCGCAACATCGTGGACATTGGAACAAAGTTGCTAGCTGTGTCGTGGACCTAAATTTTCACTGTTTTTGAGAAGCACAAAATTGGCAACTGTACATTGGTATTCATGCTGTTTTGAATAAAGTATGTTCTGTATTTTTTTTCTTGGCTTTGTCTTATTGGATAATTTATATGGCACGTTATTCTGAATTTGATTCCATCCCGAAGCTTTTTTGTCTTTAAGATGGCTGCGGCAGTTATTTTCAAACAGTAAATAACCATGAACTCGGAGGTGAATGTTATCCGGAGAGATTGGTCGCTCACTATTATATAGTAATTGCTGTTTCAAATATTAATCTCATGCATTTTTGATCAAAGGGTGTAAAGTGGGAGTCATCTATAAACATGATGTTGCTAATTCAATAAAGCAGTGAAACACAGGTTGTGAAATGGTTAACTAGCATTTGGTGGGAAATGAAATGGTTTCCTCCAGCTTTCTAAAATGGCTTCTGGCTTTTCTTCTTCCTGTCCGTGCAGGAAGTGATGCAATTGCTGCAAAAAGGGGAAAAATATTTCCACGCGTTATTCTTTGTCCACTTAAGTGAACCGAACTCTTCACTTTCGGCCGGTGCTTGTTAAGATGTGATGAACATATCTCAACGTTTCTCGAAACGAAAAGTTAAAGATGAAGGGGAGGGACTTAAACATCACCTGAGTGTTGGTTAAATGAAAATAACGTCAATCAAAGGCTTTCAGAGCTAGGAAGGAGCTCTAGATGGCGGATGATCCTTAGGAAGGCTGCTATGGGCTGTCGTCATTCCGTTTTTCTTGCTCCCCTGTGTCGACTGAGGCGACGTCCTGCTATGTTCAAGTGATGCCTCCGCTCACTCGCTCGACGTTTTGACGGGTTTGACGCCGTTTCGCTGGGCTTTGGTGTCCGTTTTTGCGCGTCGACGGAGCCGTCTCTGCTGTGGGAGTTGCTCGCCGTTGTTTTCTATGCAGGGCTCCGGCAGCCATGGCGCGCCTCCATTTTTAGAGTGCTGCTCGCTTCTTGTCTCGCTGACGCTTGACAGCAGAGCACCTTAGCCAAAGGCCTACGATGTATTTAAAACGGGATTCTTTTGGTATTTAATGACAAGTAATTTACTTTTTGGGGGGCTGCCTCTGCCGATTTGACGTTTTATTTAATTTTTGCAACCACGGCGAATCGAAAGGAAATAGTGCAATCTATCGGCACTACATCGCTCCGGGATTGCTCTGTTTACATTGATTTCTTTATTAATCCCACATTATCTTCACGTTTAACTTTATTCTTAACGGAGTCGTTTTTTTTTTTGATGACGCAGTTTGAATTAATTGATGCGACTCGGCACTTGGACACATTGCTGGCATATGTAGGCTAAATGAATAGCACATGCCGTTAGCAAGTATATTTCGTGTATATAACAGATGTGTATGTATCTATAATGAACAATCACTTGTATTAAATTCCACTTTCTCCTCTCGCGTCGCACCGTTTGGGATCTAAAGTGCTTGCCGAGGAGCGAAGAGAATAGCGAGGCACTTGTATGCTACGTTATGCCTCCTGGAACTTTTTGAGACGAATACCAGGACACAAGATCACCTCTCCCAAAGGATCTATACACTTGCATTGAAAACACACACACATTTTTCTTCAACGATGAAGAACAGAAATAAAAAGCAAGGGGATGAAGGATCGACTCAAAGCAATGCTTCCAGGTATGCAACTCATTGAGTTTTTTTTAAAAATACCATCGTACGTCTGCAGAACTTGTTTACCTTGTCAAGCATGGTCGATCACCTGTGTGTGTGTGCGCGCGCGTGTGTGTGGTGGGGCTATTTGCATATGCGTGCCACTGACGAGGTGCACCAGTGTCACCAATGACCTTGCTATTGTTTAATAGCCACACCCCGATTTCGTAGCATTTGTTAGTGTAGTGTGCCTGCAAGGCCCCCCTGTGCCGGAAGATCCTTTCCCTGGAAGTAAAAGCGATCAAACTTCCCTCCATCCGAAAGCATTGCATGCTTTGTGTTGTTTATCAACTCAACTCAATTCCACTCAACTGTTTTTATTGAGCACTTTAAAACATGTATACAGAGTGCTGTACATGGAGTAAAAATAATGAATTCTACAATAAAACAATAATAACAAAGGCAGTAGAAAGCACCCCAAAAAAAAAAAACGTAAAAACTAAAATTCAAGCCTCATGCTGAGTCAAAATCACGGCCTTGTATTTCTACTTTGTGCTGCATTGCACCATTTTATCAACGTTATTTGACCCCTAAAGTGCATTTTGGATTGTTCTATGTATTTTAATGCAATGTTTGTTCAATAGAATATTTATACAAATACATATTTAAACAAATGAACTTGAATCTATTCACAAAATGTTAACTTTTTTTTGTACTTACAAATTCTGGAGATCAATATAATCACATGCAAGATGTATTTTAAAATGAACTTGTCTGACATTTGAAACTTTTCACGAGTGAAACACTTAAAGTTGCGTTCAATAGAAACATTACTTTCCAACAAAAGCACACGAAGTGTCCAAAATGATTTGCATGATTTTTGTTCACGATTTCACAATTTTATTGATTTCAATGAGCCTGTATTTCTTGTCACGTTTTTGCTTTAACTTGTTGACTTCAAATCAGATCAAGATGATTTCCATATCAGCAAGAACGTATGATTTCACCTTAAATTTAGCGTCAGTGATGCGTGCGCATACTTTTTCTTCATGTGGCTTTACACATCTAATTAAGAATATATCATTGCAACTTTTGAACTGAGCTCCAATGTATGGATACTTTTTTCTGTCTGAACACTTTTATTTACATTTAACTTCTAGAGATAGTAGGCCTATTCTCGTGTTGACATCTCCCCCAACTTTGCGCATTAAAGAAACTAATATCATTAGCACAAATTTGCATCATTTGAACATTTACTTATAATGTGTTAAATCGGGGTGATGACTGATGTTATCTGCTTCCTTAACATATATTTTCGTCCCAATTTAAATATTCACCATTATAAAAACGCCCGCTGCATGCCGAAGACACTATTTTCTACATGAACTGCTGAATACTCTTGAGCACACAACTGTCCACTCTCACTTAAAATGCAATTGTGCACTCGTGGCAGCCATTTTATGTTGGTTAAACATTAAACTGAGTTTATTCCAGTTTGGCGTCAAACCGCCTCTTCTTTACACACTAACATCGTGGGAACCCAGAATGCAAACAAACATGAAATGCGCAAGCATGAATCTCTCCAAATGAGTAAGCCACGTATCAGTTAAATATTGTTTAAAATCTGCAAATGGCCCTTGCGTTCCCTGTTGTGCTGAATCCACTCACTACATGTGGAGCTCAGGAACCGGATGTGCTCCTTCACCAGTTTGAACAGGACAGCGGCGATTGGCTCGACTGTCACTTAGCAACGCATTAACCAATAGGAACTCGAGATTTCATCTATCGTCCTACCCTCATTATTATTCACTCAAGAGGAAAAGGTTTCTTCTTCCGCGTTAGGTCATCGCGGGAGGTCGTGGATTGTTTTAAATGTCGCTACGACCGTTACCTTTTTTCTAAATTGTCAGGAAACAATTTCAGGAATTATTTGAATGCTTAAAATTAGAAGATTAAACTATGACACGTACATTTTAAAGCTGTTAATGTATTGTTGAATGGCGCCCTCATGTGTTCGCCTGCGCCATCACAGGTTTTTTTTTTTGGTTCGCCCCCCCACACAGACTCCCTTCAAGATTGATTTAATAGTGTAGTGTCATCCCTAAAATATATCTTAACGACAGCTCTAATTGCTATTTTTGATAGATATTTCATGATGGGTCGTTTTGTCATACTGTACTATTGATTGACATTACTAAATCGCCCAGGCGTTCACCTCATTAATGATGGTCCAGTGTAATTCATAAAATTAAAAGTAATAGATGAGAGAACTGAAAAGGCTCAGCTTTCAAATTGTTACCTCCCTTATTTGCTGAGGAAAAAAAAACATTTTTTTCAAATCAGTATGAACTTGCATCAATTTGCCCGTTTTTGGCATGGCTCACATCTCATAAACGCCGTTAGGCGCGTCAGCAAGGACCGTTGTTGAAATGAAACCATCCCCCTGTACTTTGATGAAGAGTGTTCAGAAAATGAAAACAAAATGCGGCGGTATGCACCCAGCCCCGGTGAGTGAGCGCTCCCCGGACCAACCCGCAACCTGTTTTTCACACTACATGTGTTTTTCATGGTACCCAACACGGGATCGGTTGCTGGATGGCACGGGGACGACGGCGACTGCAAATACATCCATCCATCCATTTTCTAATCGGCTTATCCTTAAAACAGTCGAGGGTGTTCTGGAGCCTATCGCAGATGTCTTCTGGCAGTAGGCGGGGGACACCCTGAACATGTTGCCAGCCAGTCGCAGGGCACACACTGACAAACAACCATTCACACTCACAATCACACCTAGGGACAATTTGGAGTGTTCCATTAACCTGCCATGGATGATTTTTGGAATGTGGGAGGAAACCGGAGTACCCGGAGAAAACCCACGCAGGCATGAGGAAAACATGCATACAGGAAGGCCGTAGCCGCAATCGAACCCTGCACCTCTAATTACGATAGATAACGTCGGCTCCATGTAATTATGTTGTTGAAAAAAAAATCTTCCTGACATATCAACTCGAATTAGTTGATTAGTCTGCCTTCACTGAAATGCTGAAGACAAGAATGTGTGCGTGCAAGTCGAAAACGGTCCGTGTTCTTGTCCCTGCAGCATTTCCGCCTCGGATGAATCCAACTGCTCGGCATCGGAGTCGGGGAGTCAGTCTGAGAGCGAGCGCGGCAGCGATCATGGCGGCGAGAGGCGACGGCCCCGCCAGTCTGAGTCCAACAGCTCCTCGGGGTCGGAGAGCCGCTCGGGGAGCGGCAGCGAGTCTGCCGAGTCCAAGAGGCAACCGAGCAGCCATCTGAAAGACAAGCCAGTGAAGAAGAAGGAACGTCTGGCTGATGTCAAGAAGGTAAAGGAAGCGCCTTCTGCTTTGTACTCTATCACTGGCGTGTCCAGTATGTAAAAACCAAACTACAAAGCCCAAATGCTGCGTTTTTAAAATAATACAAAAAGGAGACCAAGCTGAATTATTTCACATTTTTTTTTGCCACCATTAATGTGACCTATATTCTGTGAAACTCTGTTTAAAGAAATGGACAGAAATGGAAACAAACACCTGAAATAATGTGTTTTCACAAGTGTACACACCCTCTTATAAGTGGAAGAATTAACCAGTGGCATTCAAACTCGTGTTCAGTGGGAGTCTGTACACACACGCCGCCCTATAAAAAGACTGATGAACCCCAGCTGAGCTTAAAATGTTCTTGTAGCCTTTTCCTGACATAGGTTTGCATTCTGCAAGGCACCTGAAGGGTGATACAAATAGAATAAAATGATCAACGTGCAGGAATAAATAGGCAAGAGGCTCCGATGATAGTTTTGAGGAGTTAATTTTTAGTAGTTGAATAAACAGAACATTTTGAAATGATAATTGGATTTTTTGTTGTTTTTTTTTCCTCAATCGTGATGTCAATATTAGTCAAAATAATGATTGAGTTTTTTTCTACAATGGCCCAGTGCTCATGTAGACCCGTTCTTTCTTCACGTCATACAAGAAGTGAAGTGTCTTGCTTAAATTTTGTGAGCTTTCTACAGGCTAAATTTGATTACGCCTCCTTATTATCTTCTTTCCAGATGTGGGAGGAGCATCCAGATGTGTACGGGGTCAGAAGGTCAAATCGCAGTCGACAGGAACCATCTCGCCTGAACATCGGCGCTGGGGTAAAGGCCAAGAAATGCATAACAGATGCCGCGAGAGGGTCCTCTGTTTGTGACGGGAGTTCCGTTCCGAGGGCAGCTTGTCAGTGCGCTTGTGAACGGACGACCCCCCCATATGTCGTGTTTTTTTTTTTTTTTTTTTTTTTTGGAGTTCTTAAAACCTCTGTTGATGTTTTCACAGGGCAGCAGTGACTCCGAAAGTGAAAGTCCCAAAAGAAAAAGCTCTCGAGTCAAAAAGAAGGAGTGAGTATTTAGAGCTCGTGCACAGCCGATAGACCGTTTGCATACCTCATCCCGTTTTCGTAACAGTCACAATGTCATCGAGACGATGGCGCAGCCTTTTCAGTTAGTCTTCGGATTCTATTGGTCTCCACGTCATCTCATTTGGAACTGGGTAACTGTTGTTGGCCAAGTTAGATTCCAGTCAGCCGGGGCGATGACGTTATCGCCATTCTGACCATTCTCCAGTTCGTGACTTTGCCCTGTGCGAGCCACCCTCCCCCCACCCACCCCCCAAAAAAACGCTAAGCTCGCACTTTGTCACGTAAAACAGAGGTGATGGGCCCTGTGGGTGAACTTGTGGCATCTCTTTGTTGTAAAGTATCTGGAATGATGATGATGATGATGATGATGAGGAGGAGGAAGCTTCCAGCAGTACAGACAGTGAGCAGGAAGAGAAAAAAGTAAGATCCAGACGACTTCCTGCTAGAAGGTAAGAGTTTAGCGAGGCCTGGCCGTCAGACAGCTACCCGCTGGTCGTCTTCATTCCATGTCGAATTTTCTCTGTTGCGTGCGCGATTTAAAGCAGGGGTGGGAACGTCTGATCGGCTCCGTCATGCAATTTGAAAAACACTTATTCGAAAATTCTGATTGGGCGTTGGTTTTTAATAGCCACTTCACGTCGATCTGAGTCACCACCGATTTGTGCGCAGCCCTTCGCTAAAGGCTAAAATGCTAGTCAAGGGCATTATGAAAGTCCTTTCTATGCTGAGCAACTGTGTCCATGCAATAGGAAAAGATTGTTGAAAGTGAGGAAAGCTTGGCCTGAGAAAAACAAAAAAAAAAACCGGATTAATAGTGTTTCCATTCATTTCAGTTGGGAACTTTGATTTGAGAGACTTGTGATTTAAGTTAGGCACATGGTCATGGAATTAATCAAACTCATCAAGTTACCGCAGTATTTTTTTTTCACAAATTTGAGGAAAAAGGTTCCCCGCTCCTGCTTTCAAGAAGACATTTGAAATTGTCTCTAAAGTTTGGTTTGGTCACGACAGTGGATCAACACGCCCCGCCCCCTCTTCTCCCTCTTTTGGCCATTTGCTCTTTCACAGACCCCAGACAAAATCATCAAACAAAAAACTCTCCCAAAAAGCAAGAAAGTCCAGGAAACAAGAATCCTCTCCTGAGGACGAGGATGACGACGATGAGGATGATGAGGATGATGATGACGAGGAGGAAGAGGAGGAGGAGGAGGAGGATGATGATGATGATGATGAGGACACTCCAAAGAGACAAACTCGCCGAAGAGGGGCAACTAAAGTCAAAAGGTTTTTTTTTTTGTTTGTCTTGTTTTTTATAAGACTGGTGGCAACATTGCTGCAAACGTGACTGTTGTCCAGCATTGATTAATTGACAGCATCATAAAAAGGTTTTCAAGCAGTACATTTATATTAGACATGGCTTTGGCCTGAGCAAAAAAAAAAAAAAGAAAAAACTGAATAGGTGAGTTTAAACCCCCAAAAAAGAGCTAATAGGCGCATTTGCAAATGCCATACGTTCTGTTTCCTTATTGTAGCTATAAAGAAGACCAACATGACTTTGAAACGGACTCTGATGACCTCATCGAGATGACGGGCGATGCGTGCGAGGAGCAGCAAGATGACGACAGCGAGACCATTGAGAAAGTCATGGACACCAGGATCGGCAAAAAAGGAGGTGATTACAAACTGCAAATAATACGTCGAGATGTTTTGAAATATCAACCATCTTTTTTCTTTAATGTCTTAACTTGCGACAGTTTGCTAGCTTAAATGAGAACACAACGCACAGCGCCATACATGGGACTAACCTTACCGTAGCCTATTGAGGAGCCAATTTTTCATTAAAAAAAAAAAAAAAAAAAAGAATCTTTTGTTGGTCTATTATGGGGCACTGGAACGGATTAGTGGCATTTCTATTCATTTCAATTGCGGAAGTTGATTTGTCGAGGGGCGACAATGAATCAGTTCATGGACAACTAACCGATGATCAAATTAATAATGATTTTTGATCATCGAGTCATTGCTTTGAGGCCTTGTTTAAAATCGTACATATCGGCAGAATTTTCGGCTCTCAACTGTAAATTCTTCTCACATCTCTGTCGCGCTTCATAAAGGCAGACTAATCATCTCTGTTGAGTCAACAGAAAATATTCTCAATCTGTGTAAATGTTCCATTCAGTGCAAACGAGACTCGGTTGTGAACGTGATTTCTGTTCTTTGCGAATCTTAGCCACCGGCGCTCCCACGACCATGTACGCCGTCGAGGAGAACGGGGACCCGTGCGAAGGCTTCGACCCCAACGACCAAGAAGGGGAAACGCAGTATCTGGTCAAGTGGAAGGGCTGGTCGTACATCCACAACACGTGGGAGAGCCTGGACTCGCTGACGCAGCAGAAAGTCAAGGGCCTGAAGAAGCTGGACAACTTCAAAAAGAAAAATGAAGAGCTCAGCGCATGGTGCCAAACCTTTTGACTTTCAAGCAAATCAAATCGTGCCCCGCAGTTGAGCGTTTTGAAAAATGAAGGAACGGAAATGTTTTAGGTTGAAGAAGGCGTCTCCCGAGGACGTCGAGTTCCACAACTGCCAGCTGGAGCTCATCGCAGACTTGAACAAGCAGTTCCAGTTTGTGGAGCGCGTCATCGGTAAGACATGCTCCGGTCGCGGTGCAGATGTTGGCCGAGGCCTCCTCGTTCATTGCATTTGTCATCACCAGCGACCAAAACGGGAAAAACTCACGGCTCCTCTGACTTCCCGTGTAAGCGACTCGATGTTGGAAGCGTGCGGAAGACGCGGCCGGCCGGCGCTCGCTCAAATGTCTTTTGCTCTTCCAGCTCACAGTCACAAGACGGCGTCCAACGAGCCCGAGTACCTCTGCAAGTGGATGGGCCTCCCCTACTCGGAGTGCAGCTGGGAAGACGGCGCGCTGGTCATGAAGAAGTTCCAGCACTGCATTGACGGCTTCTTGAACCGCAACTCCAGCAAAACGCTCCCCTCCAAAGACTGCAAGGTACGAGTCCAGCCGCCCGCCCCACTTTTGAAATGGACGGACGGTGCTTCAGATTCCCTTTCGCCCCCCCCGTGTTCTCAGGTGTTGAAACAAAGACCGAGATTTGTCGCTCTGAAAAAACAGCCCACGTATATTGGAGACGAGAACCTGGAACTGAGAGACTATCAGCTGGCCGGCCTCAACTGGCTCGCTCACTCCTGGTGCAGGTAGCGCACGGTGTCGGCTGCGGGGTTTTATTTGATTTATTTATTTTATCTTGCACTTGGCAAATAATTTATTTTTAAAAAAAAACAAACAAAACAAAAACCTGAGCTGTCTACTAAAACCAACAAACGCTAAACTAAATGAAGCATTAAAAAAAAAAAGTGAATAAATTTGCCCAAAGAAGAAATGAAAAATAGTGGAACTAACTCCAAGAAGAAAATTAAAAAAAAAAAATCCCAAACTATTCTAATCCTGCCTCACATTAGCATCGTTCAAATTTGGATTAGACCTTGCAATTTATATCATTGTGCACAACATCACGCCCCCCCGAAAAAAAAATAATAATGTTTGATCGCTGGTTGATGACTGTATAAAAAAAACATTCCAAAAATGAACGCTGTCATTGAATGAAATGGTGCGTGGCCACCGCCAGCCGAGCCCCTAACTGGACGAAAACACAACCGGCAGCTTCGGCTTCCCAAACACTTTCAAAGGTTCAGAGCCACGAGTGATGCAATCCATCAGTCGATGAGCTGACTAAGAAATAAATCTGCGCACACACCTGCCTTTGTGGTTGACTTTTTCCATCTGCAGCAAAGCGTTTTTTTTTTTTTTTTTTTTTTTGACAAACCAGGCTTCTAATTTAATACCTAAAAAAAAAAACATCTCCTCTTAAAATCTTGAGGTGACAGTGCGACATGGCTCCCCCGCCGCGTGTCGTGTTACAACACTTTTCAGACCGCTCAAGTGTCCCAGCTATTTTCAACACTTGACGTCCAAATGACGCAGGGCCAGACCGAGCCTATTGGAAGCACTTTATAGAAACGACACAACACTCAGCTCGGTGTTGAAGGGGCGGCGCCACTGATCTTCTCCTCCTCCTCCTCCTCCTCCTCATCTTCAGGTGCAATAGCGTCATCCTGGCCGACGAGATGGGTCTGGGAAAGACCATCCAGACCATCTCGTTCCTGTCCTACCTGTTCCACCAGCATCAGCTCTACGGGCCCTTCCTGGTGGTGGTGCCGCTGTCCACGCTCACATCCTGGCAGAGGGAGTTCAACACCTGGGCCCCCGACATGAACGTCGTGGTCTACCTGGGCGACGTCATGAGCAGGAAAACGGTACGGGAGTAGTACATTGGGCGCTCGTAACCATTTTCCAACACATATCAGCGATAGACCAAAACAAAAAAATCCCCAAACCCTCTCTCAATTAAAAGAATACAAAATGCTCGTGGGCTTTTCATCCGGGTTCCGGATTTTTATTCCAGCTCGGGGTCGACCATTTCCCCAAACCGAGCACAGTTCAATGAGGGCTTCAATAAAATTAGGATGGGCTCCAATTTTTGTCTTGAATTGATCAGGAATGAGTTCGGAGCCTCACGGTGTTTTTTTCTTCTTCTCCGAGCAGATCCGCGACTACGAGTGGGTGAACCACCAAACCAAAAGAATCCGTTTCAATGCACTCTTAACCACTTATGAAATTCTCCTCAAAGACAAGGTGAGTGCTTGCTTCCACGTTTTAAAAATTCACTTTCACAAAGACAACAACACTGGCCGACATATTTAAAAAAAAAAAAAAGTTATTTTCGTGCATTCTGGGTCATATTTGGCTGCCGAGTCCAAAAAGGACACCTTTTCCCTTTAGTCGGCTCAAGTTTTTGACATTGATATATATTTGATAACTCATGTGCTTTGACCGTTTACCAATTGTACCTTGATCGTCACTAATCGCAGTGTTTGCGTGTTTTTGCATTCCAAAAATCTGTCGTTTGCTGCCTATTGCGCTTCACTCTCACATGATCGGCATCGAGAAGGCTCTCTGCCACACCGATTGCCGTCCAAACGCCAGAGGAACTCTCTCGCCACCCAAAAAAACCAAAAGTTGTAATCAATGACATCAAACGGCTTTTTTTTTCTCCTCTAGGGAGTCCTCGGAAACATCAACTGGGCCTTCCTCGGTGTTGACGAGGCTCACCGGCTGAAAAACGACGATTCCCTCTTGTACAAAACCTTGATGGAGTTCAGGTCAAACCACAGGCTCCTCATCACCGGCACGCCGTTGCAGAACTCGCTGAAAGAGCTCTGGTCGCTGCTGCACTTCCTCATGCCGGACAAGTACGTTCCACTCCACGCCTTCTTCGACAAAATCGAAAAGACGATGCGTTTATTATATTCTTTTTCTTTCTCTCAATCCGCCGCGCACTCAGGTTTGACTCGTGGGAAGATTTCGAGGACGACCACGGCAAAGGAAGAGAGAACGGCTACCAGAGTCTTCACAAAGTCCTCGAGCCGTTCCTGCTGCGACGTGTCAAAAAGGACGTGGAGAAATCACTCCCTGCCAAAGTGGAGCAGATTCTTCGCGTTGACATGAGTGCGCAGCAGAAGCAATTTTACAAGTAGGATTCTCGATCTGTCCCCTTCGTATCGCGATCTTGCCTTGTCGCCAGACGTACGACGGAACCGCTTCAAAGAAGTTGAACTTTGAACTGTACGAATTTGGCGCTTCCCCCTGAGTTTCTAACTTTGCTTGCTTTGAATGTGTTGCTCGACACTTGCAGGTGGATTTTAACGCGGAATTACAAAGCTCTTTCCAAAGGCACCCGAGGCAGCTCCTCGGGCTTCCTGAACATTGTGATGGAGCTGAAAAAGTGCTGCAACCACGGCTTCCTCATCAAGCAGCCCGAGGAGGGAGAGCTCGAGTCACAACAGGAACAACTGCAGGCACGTTTGCTGATCGCTCTATTTTTTTAAATTTTTTTTTACCTGCGGCCTCACCACGGGCCATCCTGCGTCATCGAGCGAAAGGTGAAAGTGTGTGTGTGTGTGTGTGTGTGTGTGTGTAGGCTCTGGTGCGGGCCAGCGGGAAGTTGGTGCTGCTGGACAAGCTGCTCACCCGCCTCCGGGAACGAGGCAACCGAGTGCTGATTTTCTCGCAGATGGTTCGAATGTTGGACATCCTGGCTGAATACCTCACCAAGAAACGTTATCCCTTCCAGGTAGGATTCACCTTTTTGGCTCAACGCTCGCCGTGTCAGAAATAAGATGTCCAAACTATGGCCCGGGGGGGATATTTGCAGCCCGCGCGGCATGTATTCAAAATGACATTTGACACAGCCGTCACAAGGGTAGTTTAAAAAAAAAAAAAAGAGAGGGTGGAGGTGGGCAAAGTCAGAAAGGAGGGTGTCGGAGACAAAAAAATAGGTGCCACGAATGTGAACAAATTGATTCCCATTCTGAACAGATTTTCCAGATATGCAAAGACACAAATGAACGACAATAAGAAGGCCATTTCTCTTCAAAGCACTGAAGAAGAAAGATCATTCCATTTCACAAGCGGAACTGGTTTGGACACTCCTGAAATAGGGGAGAGAAAAAAAAAAAGTTGGAACGTATGTAACCATGTCAAATTCCGATTAAAAAGAGAACTGGAAAAAAAAAACTTTTCAAATGTTGATCATATCTACTATATCGTTGACCTACTAGCGTAAATGATAAAAATGACCAAGGTGCTTTTGAAAAATGCGGATTTTTTTTTTTCTTCACCATTTGTTGCTTTTGGATGCGTCGTCCGGTATGCTGCAGCCTTTAGACAAAAAACATGATATGAAAAATTTACATATTTATTATATTTAGGATTAGTTTGGTTGTTTTGGGGGGACGGGGTCCAATTTTTTGTTGTCCTTCTGCAAATCTCCTAAAGTGTTCCAAAAACATTTGTCTTGATCTGCGTTCACGCAAACTCATGTGTTGACGCAGATCACATTTCGGCGTTGTGTCACACATACTCGGCCAGGCCGCGAGTTCACGCGGTTATTTATATCGCCGACTTGTCTTCGATTGGAGCGCGTCCAGGCTGCGGCAGGGCGCTCGGCTCCGTCCGTGTTAGCCGGTGGCATTTGTTGTGATAGAGCACTGCTCAACATCGACTGGTCTTATTTGTCTCTTCTGATTTTAGCGATTGGACGGCTCCATCAAGGGAGAAATTCGAAAGCAAGCACTGGACCACTTTAATGCCGAAGGCTCAGAGGTACGTTCAAAGCTTCAGCACCCGAACCACTGGTGTTTGTGTCATTAGTTTCAAAATGTCATGGCGTTGCATGAATGACTTAAAATAATCTTTGAATGGTGCAAAAAAATGGAAAAAAAAAAACCCCGGCCTGATTACTTGGAATGATGTTGCTTGCACACATCTTGCTAGTACCCCGCCATGGAAGTTTTGTGTTTGTGAGCAGAGCGCCGTATCTCTTGCAGGACTTTTGCTTTCTCTTGTCCACGAGAGCCGGAGGCTTAGGGATAAACTTGGCCTCGGCCGACACCGTGGTCATCTTCGACTCTGACTGGAACCCTCAGAATGACCTGCAGGCACAAGCCAGGGCTCATCGGATCGGCCAGAAGAAGCAGGTACGCTACCACCGAAATGGATCGCAACTCTCATCGTGTCGCGTCACGTTTGGCATCACGTCAAAAAATTCACGATGGACCTCCCCGGAATCACCGTGTAAATTATTATGACTCTTCTCAAGTTGATTTATGGAGCGCATTAAAAACCAACCACAACTGTGTGCAAAGACCCCCCCGTGTGGACAAAACACCATCCCTTCTGTTTCCCTTCTGTTGAAATTGAAGAAGTTCAGCGCCCCTCAGGCTTTGATTTCCTCCAGACAGGACAAAAGTGGCCTGAAGGCGAGAGCGTTCTTTTTGCCCAGCGGGGACATGTCATCCGCATCGCAGTGAAAGGAAATAACATGCTTTCTTAAGATGGAACCCAGGGGCAGCAAATACAATGAAAACAGCAGGGGCCCCAAAATGGAACCTTGTGCCACACCTTCAAGCAGCAAGGCTAACACAAAAAGTCCTACAGCCTACAGACGGTCCAAAACATTTAAAGTCGACTATAATGTTATGAAAATCGAGGCAAAGTCGGTAAATCAATAACATCTTGATCTTTTTTTTTTTTTTTTTTTTTTTAACCTTGATCAATCGGTTCAACAACTAGCTTGTAATAGTATGTTCCATCTCATTCCTCCGTGTGTGTGCATTGGAACGCGTGTAAATCCTGAAGCTGTCTGGTGGGATCCATTTGCAACGATTTGTGCTTTTGTCCCGGCCGTAGGTGAATATATATCGACTGGTCACCAAGGGAACGGTTGAGGAGGACATTATTGAGAGGGCCAAGAAGAAGATGGTTTTGGACCACCTGGTCATCCAGCGAATGGACACCACTGGCCGAACGGTACTGGACAGCAACTCGGGCAACACCAAGTAAGACCTCTTTTGGGAGTCACCTGAACGTGCCCCCCCTCGCGAGTCATCACACTTGGCCTTCTTTTGGGTCTTCCAGCTCCAATCCGTTCAACAAGGAAGAGCTCACCGCGATCCTCAAGTTTGGTGCCGAAGAACTCTTTAAAGAGGCGGAAGGAGAAGAGTCTGAACCCCAGGTGCTTAGGGTCACCCCGAGTAGCCCAAAAGCGCACGTCTCAACGTTTCTGAAGTCACACGGCCGTGTTTTCTTTTCATGCAGGAAATGGACATTGATGAGATCCTCAGGTTGGCTGAAACCAGAGAAAGTGACCAGGGCCAAAGTGCCACTGATGAGCTGCTGTCTCAGTTTAAGGTGGGTCCATTCGCCCTCCTCTTTGGTGTATTTCGCTTCATAAATGTCAGGGCCTATAAAGTCAGGCCACAAATTCAATCTCTTTGCCCACTTGGTCATTTGCGTTTCGCATTGAAATGAATGGAAATGCAATCGGACTGTTCCAGCTCCAAACCAAAGTCGTAGTTATGTTCTTGTGAAAAATCAATACGAATAATGATGCCGTGCAATCTCGAAAGAAGTGAAGGAAACAGTTTCTGAAGAATTAACGCAAGTGTGAGCCTTTTTTGGCGCACCATTTCCATTCAAATTGCATTGTGGGACGAGGCGGCCATTTTGGGGTTGCGGTATCCATGGTGAATATAAACAAGGCTGTGTAGTCGCGCAGAATTCAAGTCGCCATGTTAAAATGCAAGCAGAGGAAAGCGATTGACCACACTTTGACCGGCGAGCTCTTGCACTGCGGTTGAAGTGGGAACCCCACAGAGTTTGACCTCTCTCAGTGCACAGCATCCACTCGGGACAAAGGTGTTGTTTTTTTTTTTAACTTGTCCTTTTTGTGTGCGTCGATGTTAAGTGGCTCTTGAGTGTTGACAAGTGCCACACCAATTTGATGTCTTGGCAATTGTACTCATAGTAGCTTTTCCCAACCCAAACTGTCTTTAGAGCCATAATGAGGGATCATGTCGAGCACCGCAGAGCTTTTCCGCAATCCCTGTTCATGGACCGACAAGAATGTGTGAACCAAGGCTATTGACATTTTTTTTTTTTTTAAATACCCCTGCAGGTGGCCAATTTTTCCAGCATGGAGGAGAGCGCTCCCGACCTCGAGGAAAAGCCCTCTCGGGAATGGGACGACATCATCCCCGAGGAGCAGCGGCGGAAAATGGAGGAGGAGGAAAAGCAGCGGGAAATGGATCTCTTCATGCTGCCCAGAAGCAGGAGCTCCAACAAGCGGGTGAGGCCTCTGCAGTTTTGCCCACGCGAGCTCATTTGCTCCCTTTGAAAGCAGACGTCAACCCCCCCCCCAAATAAAACAACTGCTTTTGAACGACGTGGCTGTTAAAAGACTCCAGCGCTCCAGATTTGACTCCCGATTTGCGGTCTCAGGCTCAAGCCAACGACAGCGACAGTGACGTGGGCTCCAAGCTCAAGCAACACTCCTCCGGCTCTGACAGCGAGACCGACGACAGCGACGAGGACAAGAAGCCAAAGAGGAGAGGCCGCCCTCGAGCCCGCAAGAACAACGTGGAAGGTTTCAACGATGCTGAGATACGCAGGTCAGGTCTTTCGCGCTGGTTTGGTTACATTCCCGCGGAGCTCTTGTTGACTCATTTGACACTTGGTGGTATTTGTCAATGCAGGTTCATTAAGGCTTACAAGAAGTTTGGAGCGCCACTTGAAAGGTAAGTGCTCAGTTTACTAAAAAAAATGAAATATAATCAGACCTCCCTTTTAATCAACGTCATGTCGCACTGAATCGCTTGGTAATAAATAAGCAGCTCACCTCAAATCAAGGCCCTGTTTTGTTTTGTTTTTTTTAATCCCAGAAAAAGATAGATAAACTTGACTTCATTTTAAAAATGAATTTAACTTCATTCACCCAAGCGCCATCATCTTTATTGGTGAAGTTTGTGAGTGGGAAAAAAAACACACCTAAGTAATTTGTTTTTGGTAGTTTGAGTCACTCCGGTATTGCGGCAACACGCAACGAAACAAAATGAACATTTTGCACAGAGTCGTGCCGCACTGTAAGGATGAGTGCGGCGGTGAAGATCAGTTTGACGGCAATGATACGTGTAGTCATTATTGTTGTTGTTTGTACAAACAAATCAAAGTTTAAGCCAACACTGTACCATATTTATAGTAAAATCACAAATCACAGCGACCTCACGAATAAATGGCCGCGGCCACGATTCGAACCGAATCAGTTCATCAAATTTCACGGGACTCGTCATTTGTCAAGCCGGCAGTTGTCAAGCGCGCTTCTGCATCTCCAGGTTGGAAGCCATCGCGCGGGACTCGGAGCTGGTGGACAAATCGATCGCAGACCTGAAGCGACTGGGCGAACTCATTCACGGCAGCTGCGTGGCGGCGGTGCAAGAGCACGAGGAAAACCTGAAAGAGAACCCAATTGAAGGTACCGGCACGCGCGGTGCGCGCACGTCACGCCGCTTTGCCACTGCGGAGCTGAAAACCAGGTCATTGCAGCCAAAGGGCCCGGCAAGCGGCGAGGAATAAACATCAAGATCTCGGGGGTGCAGGTCAACGCCAAGTCCATCGTTCAGCACGAGGAGGAGTTTGAGCCCCTGCACAAAGCCGTGCCCGCCGATCCGGCCGAGCGCAATACGTGAGCAAGCCGCCCAACCGTTCGGGGGGGGCGGGAGCGCCACGCGTGCCGTTGACGTTCTCCGGCTCGCCCACAGGTTCAAGCTCGGATGCAGAGTCAAGGTTGCCCACTTCGATGTGGACTGGAATGCCGAGGATGACGTTCAGCTCTTACTGGGAATTTACGAGCACGGATTCAGCAACTGGGATCTGATCAAGACCGATCCGGACCTCAAGCTGGCTGAAAAGGCGAGTGCGGCCAACGTTTGACACCGCGGGCGAAGATGCCCGACTCATTGATGCCCGCCTACCCCTCAAATGTTTCATAGCGCCTTCATTGTGCACCGTCATGGTTCAGCGCTTGCGGATTCTCGTTTTTGTGGAGTTTAAAAATACAGATGTCATTTTTTTCCCCCCAACAATTTTCTTCCCATTTTTCATGGAAAACGCCCTTTGAATGTTTATTCAGCATCACCCCAGAACATTTCTTTCCGCATCAATTATCGATGGTCATTTTTGCTATGGTCTCCATCCCTCGCGAAGAGCAGGGTCCGCTCTCGTCACAATTTCAAGCCTTAAATACACTCCAAACCTCGACTAGAAAAGACGCATATCATAAAAGGAACCTTAAAAATGAATAGCTGCTTAAATGCTTTTCATTTTGAAACAAATGTCCGAGAATGCCGGCGTATCGGACACAAACCGCACAATATCAATGACTACTTTCCTATGAGCCATTTGAGGTTTTTTGGACTCTGTGATTCACCATGACTTGAGAGCATTGTCCGGAAAAAGAAAACTAAAAAGAAGACGAGATGAACGTCATGGCGCCAGTAGCAGAGTCATCATTTGCTCGTCGATGGTCGCCCCTCCGCACTTCTGTGCCATGAATCCCAAAGCATCCAATGAAATTGCATCAGCGCGGCACTAACTCAGCATGACGAACATTTTCTCATGCCATGAGTTCTTTTGTCACCATCGGTTGGAGCCTCTGCAGTTAAAAAAGCAGCGGTGAACGTTCCAATTAGATTTGAATTTGTCTGTATGTGCCCCCCCCCTCCGCACAGATCCTGCCGGACGATCCAGGCAAGAAGCCTCAGGCCAAGCAGCTGCAGGCGAGGGCCGAGTACCTCCTCAAGCTGCTCAAAAAGGAACAAGACAGCGCCGATGCGTCCAAAACGGGGGACGAGGTGAGCCGACCGACGACGGCCGGCCGGCGCCGTTCCCGCCGCGTCTGCGCCCGCGTCACTCATCCGGCCTCCGTCGCCGACAGGTCAAAGTGAGGAAAAGGAAGCCTCGGGTGAAGAAGGCGAAGGCCGTCAAAGACGAGCAGGGCAACAGCATCTCGTCGCCGCGCCTGTCGGACAATCCGTCGGAGGAGGGCGAGCTCAAGGTCGCTAACCGCAAAGGGGCGCCTGGAAACCTCTGCATTGACTTGGGGGGGGACTTTGCAAATCGTTCCGCATGGTGTGACTTTACCACGTGATCGTCTCACCGCTTCCCATTTGAGCAGGAGGAAGGAACCGAGAAATCCCCTGCCAAGAAACGACCGAAGAAGAAGGATAACAAGGAGAACAAAGAGAAGCAGGGAACCCCCAAAAAGGAGAAGGATGGCGAGAAAGAAAAAGCAAACAAGGCCAGGAAAGAGAAGGTCAGTCGTTGCCTTGTGCGCCTTTCAAGCATTGGCCACCATATTCGCCACGCCGATAAAAATCCGTCAACCTCCCCTTGATTCAGCCGCCTCATCCGCAGCTTTCATTAACTCTCTCGATACCAAACACCTTTTTTCTTCTTTTTTTTTTGAATCAGGTACACCTTTCGGTTTTGTTTTTTCACGCGGTGGACTAAAGAAGGGTTTCAAAATGGCTGACACTGAAGGGGTTCATTACTTGAGATGTTATTGAAGGAAATCAAAAACCTTTGGTAGTTGATCAATTTCTGCCACCCGGAAGTACCCCGGCACCCATTTACAACATAACAAAAGACGCGTTTAGACGTGTGTGTGTGTGTGTGTTTGTGTGTGTGTGTGAAGTCTGTCGGGTGAACACCCGGTCGCTCGTTTTAACGTTCTTGTTTGCACGTTTTAGCCGAAAGGAGCCAAAGGGAGGAAAAGTCAAGGACCCGTTCACATCACGGCGGGCTCCGACCCCGTCCCCATCGAAGGAAAAGAGGACGACAAACTGGACCAGGAGACTTTCAGTATTGTGAGTTTTGAAATGAGACCGGGCGACTTTTAGACGTCTCTGGGATGTACTTGTCAAAAAATGGGAACGATCGTCGTTATTGCGTCCAGTGCAAGGAGCGCATGAGGCCGGTGAAGAAGGCCCTAAAGCAGCTGGACAAACCCGACGAGGGCTTGTCGGACCAGGACCAGCTCCAGCACACGCGCACGTGCCTGCTGAAGATCGGCGACCGCATCACCGAGTGCCTTAAAGCGTACGGCGACCCCGAGCACGTGAAAATATGGCAACGGTAAGATGGCTGCGCTCTGCATTCGGCAATTGGAAAAGGGCCTCTCGTCTACTTGGCATTGTTCAGACCATGTAAGCCGCACTTTGTGGCTCTATCAAATGAAAGTTGTTTTCAAAAGTCTTGTCTCCATTCAAGGAGGAGTGCCCGACTCAAGTCAAGTGTATTTCTCCAGCACTTTCAAACAACCGACGCTGCATTCAAAGTGCTGGACATGGAGCAAAAATAATTCATACAATAAAACAATACACGAATAACGAAAGACAGTTGAAAGCATAAAAACAGTCGACCTAAAAATCAAGTTTCACGCAGAGTCCAAACCCAAACAATAAAAGATGAGTTTAAAGACGCGTTTGAAAGCTGGGCAGCGAGGGGCCTTGCCCAACGTTCAGCGGGATGTTATTCCAAAGAGAGGGAGCGGCAACGGAAAAGGCTCCCGAGCCTCCGCTTAGTTCTCGGTACCTCTAATGTTGTCTGGTCCGCCGACCTGAGGCAGGTGCGGCGGACCTCAGAGAGGTCAGGTGGGGCCAGGTCATTTCAAGGTTTGAAAACAAATAACGGGATCCTCAAAAGAACTCTAATATGAGCCAGTGAAGGAGTGACGCGCTCCCTCTTACGAGTACCAGTCAAGAGGCGAGCGGCAGCATTTTGGACCAACTGGAGACGCTGAATGGAGGATTGGCTGACTCCAAAGTCAAATGCGTTACCGTAATGCAGCCGAGATGTGACGAAGGCGTGAACGACTGTTTCAAAGTGCTCATTGGAGAAAGGAGAGGCGCGACTTTAGCCAGCTGCCGAAGACGAAAGGAGCTGGATTTAACAACGGCTCCGATTTGCCAGTCCAATTTCACATCGCTTGTCCAGATTAAAACCCAAGTTGGAGATCGTTGCCTTAAAATAAGGAGCCGAGGTGGGCCGAGTCTGCGGGATGGCATGTACAAGGGTCACCGGGACCAACCGCCAACACTTCTGTTTTCTCTTCATTGAAATTCAAGAAATTGAGTGCCATGCAGGTCTTGATACAAGCAGTTGTCAAATTCCACCCTGGCGCATTTTCGTGACTGACACAGACACTGGACAACTCCTAACAGAAGGCCTTTCCTGTTTCCCACAGAAACCTCTGGATTTTCGTGTCCAAGTTTACGGAGTTTAGCGCCCGGAAGTTGCACAAGCTCTACAAGATGGCCCAGAAGAAACGCTCCCACGAGGAAGAGGCAAGTCGCTGGCAAATTGCGTCCTCTTCATCTTGTCCTCGCCCCTGACCTTTTGGCTCCATTTGGACGCTTCCAGAAGGAGCACAAGAAGAAGGACGAGCCCTCCGGCAGAGGGAAGCCTTTCCGGCCGGACGCTTCGGCGTCCGGTCGCGAAGCCGCGGGCTCGCAGTCGGCTTCGTCTCACGCCATGCAGTCGGGCCCGCACGGACACCACCGAGATTACAACGTGGGCGCCAAGCGGCACTTCCCCAACGATGGTAAATACGCGCCTCGAGGTTACCGTCGAGTGTTTTCTTACTGGGCGGGTACGCAGCCCAAACCGCGTCTGGCATCCATTTTTCGATTCATCTCTTTTTTTTCCTGGAGTGGTTGCCAATTCAATTCAAACTGAATCTCATCAAGGCTTACGACACACGGGCAAAATATTTGTTTCACAAATGGACTTTTTATACTGGGGGAGGGCGCGGGGGCGACGGGATGTCGTTGCAACTGGAAGCGGAACTGCACTGTTGCGACCTGGCGCCTTCTCAACAATCTCGGTCGAATTTGAAGTGAGTTGACCTGGCCGTAATTGTGCTCACGCAGACCGGGGGGACTGGCAGAGGGAGCGCAAGTACAATCACCCGGGCAACCCGTCGTGGCAGGGCGAGCGGCATCACCCGTACGACGCCCACCGCTACAAGGACCACTACGGCGACCGGCACGCCCACGGTGACTCGTACCGCAGCGCCGGCGGCTACCGCAACAATAGCTCGCCGCGCAAGAGGCCCTACGACCTGTACGGCAACGACCGGGACCACCGGCCGCATCGGCCCTACTACGACAGGTAAACGCGACCGCAATGCGCTGCTGCCTTCGAGCGGGACCGCCCGCTCTTCTTCGGTGACTTCAACAAACTGCAAGTCAAAGTACACGGAAGGTCAAGACAGAGCACATTTGGTATGGACTCATTTTAGGAGGGGCGGGGGGGGCGGAGTTACAAATTAGAACTGGTAAAAGTATTCTGTTCTCCTACATGTTAAAAAAATGTGAAATAATTATCGACTCAACTCAAAAAAAAAAAAAAAAAATATATATATATATATATATATATATATATATATTTTTTTTAAATAAAATATAAACTCTGAAATATACTATACAGAAATATACAAAAGTTGCGGCTTTGGTCCGTCACATGAGCCAACCTGCGGCCATTTTGTCTTCAGACACCAGGACTCCAAAAGAAGGCGTCCGGACGACTTCCGCTCCAACTACCACCACCAGGGACGCGACGGCCCCTCTCAGGACTTCCGCCGGATGCCCGAGCACCGGGCCGGCCCCCCGCTGGGCCAAGACCACTACGGCAGACCATTCCACCTGGATAAAGCCTCGCCGCTGGACCCGCGCTCACCGCAGGCCCAGAAGTCCCCGCATGACTCTCGCTCGTCCCCGGCGGAGCCCAACCCCCCGACCGAGGCCACCTGGAACCACAGGAAGGCCTAAAACTTTTGGACTGGACCGGTCATAAGCTTGATGCGAGCGGACAGTGTTGCCCTCAAAGACGGACAGCGAACCATCTCCAGTGAAGTGACTGGACAAAATGGAACGGAGGCTGAGTCCCATGGACTACTTTTTACGGTGGCTTTCGGACACGATGAACTTTTGACTGACCTTAAAGTGCCTGGTTGTGTTTTTTTGTTGTTGTTTTTGTTTGTTTTTTTTTTAATGCACGACAAGGGGGAATTCTGATGATTTCTGTGTGTTTAGCTTTAAGTGTCATTGAACAATGTGAGTACACAAGAATGTGTCATCGCGTGCACTTTTTTTTTCTTTTCATCCCCCAGCAGCAGCATTTGTTAGGGTTGCAAAAGGGTGGAAGATTTCCTGTAAATAACCATGGGCAGGTTTGGAACTATTCCAGATTGGAATACTTTCGCGGGAATTGATTTGGAATGGAGGTTAATGTACTGTATTTTGTTCAGGCGTAACTATCAACAATTATTTTGTTTTGTCATAAGTAGAAATCGATTCACAATAAGCTAGCTCTCCTTGCGAGGACATTCCTGTCTTTAATCAGGCCCCCCCACCCCAATCATGTCTGAATCCAAATTTTACTTGCAGATCAAAGCAAAAAAAAAAAAAACATGCGTAATGTATATTCTATTGAAATTCCCTCTTAAGAATCAAGCTTCCATTTAGTAAAATCCGGGTTTATTCCATAAAATTTCCGGACCCGGCGTCAGCACAGGGACACCTGCGACCACCACTTGATATGTTTGATAGCGTTAGGATTTCTGTCAACAACTCACTATTCCATCTCTTTTACCAAAACACGAAAAGAGCCTGTTCGTCACCTGCACTCTTAATTCCCATGGGAAGTTCCACCACGAAAAGAGTTCCCTTCATTTTGCACCTCTGGCATTTGTTGCAAAATGGTGGCTAAAGCCGGCGGTCATGGAAGACTCAACCATGCCGCTACTTTTGCCACCAGAGTGGTGTTTCCCCCCAACCTTTTTTTCATTTCCGGCACATATTTTACATGACAAAAAAAAAATACTCGCAGCATTGGAGCAAACAAAAATGTCAAAAAAAGTATTGAAATCATCGCCACCTTGGCTCTATTTCCTCACAGATGAAGCTGTTCCTCCGTTGTCGCCGAGGCAAAACACGGTTTAGTTTTCTCTCCCGCCATCTAGAGGATGACCGTGGAATTGTTCTCCTTGTCCCGATGCATTGCTAGTGTAGTTCGATGAACAGACATGCATCATTTTTTGCAGAAATTAAGTCTTTTTCTATCAAGTGGCAAATTTCCAAGGAAACTAAAATGTGAAGAACCAGTATTAGTTGCGTCGTAACACTCGGATGACCCTTTAGGCTCTTTTTCCCTCGAGGTGTTCAGGAATGAGCGTGTGTTTGTTGGAGGGCACTTGGCTCCCAGTGCCAAATGCGAGCCTCTAGTCTGCGCTTTCCCCTTTCTCCCGTTTGTGCCTTATGCATGGGCGGTACTCTATGGTGGTCCTTGCACACTACTTGCGGGGGAGGGAGGCTTGCTGCTGAGTATAGTACAGTATTTAAATCAAGGAGGAGGGGGAGGATTTTCAGTGCGTGGGGATGTAATTGTGCTTGCTGTGCAAATGGCAAAAGAATTGATTTTGTTCGTCAGGGACAAAAATCACGCGTAGACCACGCAGTGCATGCGTTGGTGTACTTGGTTGAATTTTAGTGTTGCAAAGGAATGGAAATTTCCCAGCAAATTTCCTTGCGACTGGAAGGAAGGAAATTTGGAAATAATGAGCAAAATTTCCCAAGGAAACTTTCCCAGTTTCAAAATGTCCAGCATTTTGCAACCCTAATGGAATTTGTTCAAAATCTTTTGAGTGAGTTGATCTTTGAAGGAATGCTGGGAAGTGGCCATACAGAGGCTAAAATGGCCGCCTTGCTGTGTCTTTTCGGGCATGTCTTTGTGAGACTTTTTTTGGTGGGTCTGCTTTTGGTAGCTGTGCCTCCCAAATTTCAGTCCAACTGATTTCGGGGGCTGAATTTGTCTCAATGTTATGATGAATTATTTGTAAATTTTCACAAGTATAGAGTATTTCAGTGTCGAAAATCCCTGAAAAATTCAAGCTGATTTTTGCACTGTGAGGAAAACAAAACAAAACTTACAAATCATGTAAAAATGCCCCTAATATATATTTTAAAAATCCCATTTTAAGGACATACGGAATGGCTCAATTACGTGAAAACTGGCGAAGGGACCATGTATCTAAGTGGTAATCATCATGTATTGTATGTGGTAGAAATACAAAAAAAAAAAAAGTGTTTTCTCCTCTTCTTCCTCCGGCACCACATCAAGCAAGCTCCAGTCCTTGTATGATCTGTTCTCCCAGGAAAAAAAAAGTCTAAATAATTTATATTTGTGACAACAACCACTCTTGATGAGAAATGCTCTTGTACATATGTTTGGACATATGTAATAAAAATTTGTTACACAAAAGAACATACAATTTGAGTTCATTTGCGATTTATGCAATCATTTGAAAATGGGGGAGGGGAGTGCGACCCCAGGGAACATTTTTTTTGGGGGGGGGGGCTGTATGGTAAGACGACTCCATACTAACTTTTTTACGACTAGCACGTTTGCAACTAACCGGCAACTTTAGGGGCCCGAGGAGACAATTAAGATTGACTTGTAAACATTCACTCCACTAATTTTCACTACCACTGATAAATGGGCTCAAAGTGTCTAACAGAAGTTTATTAGCAACAAAAAACGTTCAAGGATATTCTTTAGAAAAATCCCCAAACAAAACAAAACTGCAGATTTATTGGTCCCACAGGCACGAGTAATTGTAATACAGGCGCTCCCCGTTTTACGAACATTCGTGTTGCGAACAACGGTACATACGAACATTTTTGCGGGTCCAGGTATGTCGAAAAATGTTCTCGGACAGAGATGCTGTAAGTTCGATTTTGTATTGCGCGCCCTTTTCCGAGTACTGTAGTACTTCTTTCCGCCGCTAATACCGACGTGAGGCGCTGTGAGAGGAGGAGGAGGAGGAGGAAACGCCTGTCCCCATGAAGAAGTTCGAGACGGAACTCTTGGCCGAAGGGTTAGATAAAGCCATCGCACTCTTCGAGCAGCAAGACCCAAATATTGAACGTTGCACAAAGGTTGCAAATCAAATGAATGATGCCATACAGTGCTGCTGCATCATTTATGATGAGAAAAAGAAGAAAACTGTGCCATCGTCGTTATATCGCTTCTTTCGGCCAGTTTCTACTCCACCCTCCAGGGAAGATACTCGTCAACCCTCATCTTCTTCTCCTGGACCCTCAACTTCTTCCTTCATTGATGTTACGGAGGAGGAAGTAACTCTTGAAGCCCATTCCAGCGAAGACGAAGACCCACTCGGCCCCATGATATAAAATCCTCCTCTTCCTTCTCCCCCCCTCCATCATCTCCTTAAGCCTTCGAGTACATCTTCCAAAAGTAAGTTAAACTTCATTTCATTATACTTATATAAACCTTAAACATACTTATATGAGCCTTAAACATACATTCCATACAAAATATAGCACTGAAGCAACTTACGAACTGTCTCCTAGCATCCAGAAGGGGGCAGTAAAAGACTGATATCCATGCAACGTCACCACAAAGAGACAACGGTCACGAACAACACATTTTTCTTTTATTCAATAAATAATTGACATAAACAGCTGGTGTGTGTGTGGCACCACTTTTTTTATACATACAGTTTGATCTATTAGGGCATTTCCCGGCTGTTTTTATTATTATTATTTATTCCTTTTAAATTCCAAACGACAACAACAACACAAGAGCTGGATAAAAACATAAAGTGCGTTCATTTGGCAATCATGAGCAGCACAAAACACAAAAATTGAAAACTGTCTTGTGTGCTGTTCATATCTGCAAAAAATAAAAATAAAAAATAAAATATTTCACATTCACAGTTAGTCAAATTAACACACACACACACACACGCACACACTATATACAATATCACATCAGCTACTGTAAAAGTCACAATACAAACCACTTCTACAAACACAAGATTCAGATTCCACATTACAATCACTTAAATTGCGTCACTGCTGTCGACAAAGCACCCCAAAACAAAACAAACAAACAAACAGGCAGGCAGCAGTGACAAATACTTCAGTGTTAAAATCTAACAGAGATGAGTAATAGCACAGGTGAGAGCTCATGTTGAAATAGGGACTAAATGCTTGAGAAAGAGTGTCACTTTCAAAATGCTCTCAGGTTGTTCTCCGTACAGTCGTAAAGATGTTGGCACAGAAGCTTGTTTCTTTGGCAAAGACTCAAGTCCTCAAATCACTTCCGCATGAATGGTGATGTTGCATGATGCATTTCCTCAAATAGTGACGTCCGCTCCCGTACATGTCATTTTGTCATTGAGCTCCGCTAAAAAGAGACGTTCATTTTATATTTGTGGCCTAAACACAAGGGGTGCCAAACTCAAAGCCCTGGGGCACTCCACATCATTATAGGTAGTCCAATAAAAGTCGACGTAATGTTTCTTGACAGACTGATTTGTTTTCATTTTGGCGGAAATTGCAAATTTTCTCCGCTTTGCACAGCATCCCCCCCCAACCCCCACCCACAAAATTCCCTTAACATCAACATGAATTGAAAAATTGTTGGTTACTTAAATATTTACTTGCCAACATCTGCCGTGACTTGTGTTTTTTTTTTCAAAATACAATTCATTCTTAACAATACTCATCCCAAATCCACCCTGAATTTGAGTGTTGTTACTGCCCATGTAATAATTTGACAAAAGATTGACATGGTTTTCTGGGGTGGTGGCAGGGGGCTGAGGGGGGCTTATGTCCTGCACCCACAAGCACACTAAAAGTACCACTGATGCTAACAAACTGTCCTGCGTGCACACAAGCTGAAAAAAGGCGTCATTCATCTCCACAGCAAATGTCAGAACTGCTCTTCTTAGGCATCAAACACAAGGGTCTGACATTAACGGTGGCCCGATGGCCCTGGGCCACCGCGCAACTTGGAGACAGTAGATATTTGATCAATGACGTGATGGAATCAAGAAATTCTTGCAGTTTTACATGCAAAACAACCAACTACAAAAAAGTAATTTCTTCAAAAAGTCTTAAATAAAACACGCTAATCGTGAACGAATGGATCATCATGAGCGGACCCACATTGTCGGACATCGCTGTCATTTGAAGGTTGAGAATGACCGTCGTCACGTGCATTCTGATTTCCGTTATCCCACGTATGGCTACGCAATCTGTTAGCATGAAGTTAGACAAAACTGTATTGTTTGGTTTGAACCTTTTGGTATTTAAATATACAAAGTTGAATTCTTATTTTGTTTCATGTGCCAATTTTACAGTAAACTTGAACTGGCTCGAGGCAAGCTTGCTTTTGCCTTTTATTCAAAGTGATGTCATACAAAAGTCTCCCATTCCATCTTTACAAATGCTTAAAGTTTGTGGGAGGGGGAAAAACTACCTCCAAAAAAACATTTTCTATGGTGTATCCGGACCGCGAATTTGACCGATCGAGTGCAGGTGTGTAACGTATCGCCTTGATAACATCCGGTTCATCATATGTTATATGATGCGGCCATTATACACGGATACGCTTTCACAATCGTAGCGGTCCGATTTGGGGGGGGGGGAACCAAAACTACGATGAGGCCCGTGACAAAAATGACTTTGACGCCGTTTGTCCTTTTTTGGGGGTGCTTGGGTTCGATGGAGGATCGCCAGAAATCCATCAAAGGTCCCCCGCGGACTGCAGTCCATTTCATCCCAGGCGGACATTCCCAAGCCTTCTGAAGAAAACGTGAGCATACAGTCGCTAAAATTCCGGAATTCCAACGTTCCGGAAATATGTCGGAAAACCTCTGCTTCCGTTGCCGCCCTGCAAACGACACGGCGGTGAGAACGAGGACAACGTTCAAGTGGCTAAAGCGCAAGCGCGCAGCACAAGAGGACGGCCAGGAGGTTGAGCAGGAAGCGTTTGGCCGCCCCGTGCGTCGCGGCGCAACCGGAGAAGGCGCCCTTCTCGAAGATGTGATGGCGCTTGCTATTGGAGTGCAGCGTCTTCACGTCCTCCAGGGCGTAGTAGGCGGCCATGGTGAAGTTGATGTCCCCGGACGACAGGAGGTCAAAGACGCACGAGTGGAAGTAGAGATCCTCCACGGGCAGACGCTCCTTGCACTTGGCCTTGGCCGACTGGTAAGTGAACCTGCGGGTTCCGCCCGCGGCTTGGCTGCGCACCTTTTTGAAATCGATGCGCTGGTTGGCGGGGCAGCCGTGCAGACACAGATACAAGTCCTGGTCGTCGTCGTCGTCGTCGTCCTCCTCCACCGAGCGCACCACCTCCTCGGGCATGCGCACGGCGAAGGTCAAGTAGCGGCCCACCTGCCGGACCACCACGGTGGTGCCGATGTAGCGAGCCTGAATCTCCACGTGCTGTCCGGGAACCTTTTCGACGACGCGCAGGGCGTTGGCGCCGTGGCGCTCGCCGCCGTTCTTGGAGCCGTCGGCGAAGGCGGCGGGGAGCTCGTCCGTCTCGGCGTGATACATCTTCTGGTCCACGCACTCCTGGAAGTTCTTGAAGATGATTGTCAGCTGCAGACGACGAGGAGGAAAAAAAAAGCAGTTACTCGCCGGAGTTTTTCTGAGCAAGTCTTGCGATGCCGTATTTTCCACACTAAAAGCCGCACCGGATTATGAGGCGCACCTTCAATGAATGGCCTAGTTTGTCATTTTTTTCATAGATTGGACGCACCGCATTATAAGACGCAATCTACAATGCATCCACTAGATGGAGCTACGCTCAAGGTAACACCAACAGAATGATCAGATGTCAGTAAAACGCATTGATTAAAGCAGCGACACAGTTCACTTCACCAACAGCGAGTTATAACATTGGCTCGTTAACGTTGAACTCTCTCTTGCCGCTGCTCTATTTCCGTGTTCAACCGTGTAACTCGAACGCCTTAAGTTTGAACTCTGCGTTGTCAGCGTGTTTTGAGCAAGGAGCCATTTTGCGGTTGAAATATTACCGTAACGACCATACACGAGGCGCATCGGATTTTAAGGCGCGCTGTGAGCTTTTAAGAAAATGGAAGACTTTTAGGTGCGCCTTTTAGTGCGGAAAATACGGTACTTATACGGCACTTCGGGATGGGCGAGTACCGATACCAGGTATCGATATCGGGCGGATACCAGCCTTGTTTTAATAAGGTATCAGGCATTCGTGGGGGCTGTTGATGCCAGCCACCGAAATACAAAAGTGTGACGCTAAGTCAGTAGTTTGCGCTACACGCTGTGGCATTTTGACACGTAGGACAAGCAGCATTTGCGTCAGAAAGAAAGATCCTTGTTCATATTTTTTTTTTTTAATCGTTGTGTTCATGAACATTCCTACTTCCGCATTTTTCATGCTGAGCATTTCAAACATTCTCCACAGAGAGGATTGAGCTTTGGCTTGCAACACAAAGATTTTATTTTATTCATTTATTTTTTACATAATCGACCAAATGACAGCTCTAAACTCCCAAAACTCATTGGGGCATTCGTAAGCCAAAGTATCAATGTACTTCCCGTTAAGTCCCATCATTTAAAAATAATAATAAATAAATAAAAAACAAAAAAAACTTTGTTCACCTAAATTCTCTGATCGCACAAGTTCGTGATAGACTCCGGCATGTTTCAACTTGCGAAGGTTTGACAGTGGCGAGAGTGCGCCTGCGGAACTGTTTCAGCGGAATGTCATTTATTTTTTTTTGACGGGAAATTTGGAGTCCACATCAAAATACATTCGGCTGTTGAGAATCCACCGAAAATACGAGCGCCCCACTGAAAGGAAAAGTTCTTTCAATGTTTCTGTGCCATGTAGTCCACCCGGCTTCAGTGTCACATTTCAGCGAGCTCAACATGGGGGGTGTTGAGGGTGAGGCCAAGGTAAATGCCCCCCGCCTCCCCCGAAAAAAAAAAAAAAAAGAGTGAGAGAGAAGCCAGCAGCCTGAGCAGTGTGTAAAAAAAAAAAAAAAAAATCAGGCCTCAGTGCGCAGACACAAAGACGAGGCATTCATAGCGTCGCAAAGCCCGCCCGTGAACTCGCCAACGATGCTCCGGGGAGTGGCATCGGCGTCGGTGGGGGGGGGGCGCCGCGCAGCCGCGTGATACGCTGCAGCTTAGCGAGCCAGACGGGTCGCCGGGCATTGTGGCCGCGAGGACGCCGACGAGGGGCCGTCGCGCCGCGCGGCATCGGCTTACTGCAGAGATCGGAATAGGAAAAGCGAAAAGCCAGCTCCGGTGACGGTTATTCCACTGCAGTCGGCCAGCCAGACACTTTGATGTGCGCCGCGTTGCTAACGCCGATCTCTTAGCAGATTGTTTGCACAGGTGCCTTTGGCGTGCCGCCTTGTTTTCCCCCTTTGTCCGCACTCGAGTCTCTGCTCTGCTTCTGAGTAGCGCAGGGTAAAAAAGGGAATGACTTCAAAAGCTTAAAAGAGAAGCCTAAATGCGTCATTGAGTATCATTAAGACATTTTGTGAAAACGAGCTGGCCGCGCACGTGATTGAGCAAATTCGGTTCGTATAAAGTGCAAAGTCAACAAAGCGGGCAGTGATTGCCGTGAGAATGGCGAGCAACTCCCCGGAATTCGACTCGGGGACATTTCTCAGGCCGCTATTAAGCGCTGCGGAAATGATGACGAGCGCGGAGACGATCGAGCTTGGCGGAGAAATGCCCGCCAGCCTCGTGTTCGCTGTGTACTTGACGCCAAGGGAAAAAGTCAAAACGTTTCAAGATTTCATACGACCCACAAACTGAGAAGGCTCCCAAAGAGCCGAAGAGGGGATTTTCCGTGCCGGGCCTTTTTATGAACACCCACCGATTGTACGTTGGCCATTTTCAAAAGCGATTGCGCACATTTACTGAAAATTAAAACGAAGAGTGCCCTGAAGATGGAACCTGGGTTTATAATGATGTCATACCGGCTGTCAATTATTATTATTTTTTTAACGCCGATGCCCACAGTGGTCAAAATTCCAAATATTGGTACTACAATACATACAATCATTTCTCGACGTTCTATCAGAGATGGGCACTTGATGCTACATGTCCGCGACCTGGGCACCCTTCCGTCTCTGTAAAATGAAAAATATTTGGCAGCTGAATCGACGATTCAGATTTTCGTTGGTGAGCAGCTCCAAATTGAAAATTGTGCGGCTTATCTACGTCATCGGCATCGGCCGATCTGTAACGAAATCGGCAGCAGAAATCCCTGATGGGAATTCGCCTACTTTAAATCTGTTTAAAGTGCGCGGCCGCATTAAAAAATGATAACACGCCTGCTTTTACTTTTGCCCGTTCTTTGACACGTCGCGGCCCGAACCCGTAACCGAATTGGAATGAATTGATGATTGAAATGCGGCCCGATGGACCAGTGGTTAGCGCGTCGACCTCACAGTGCAGAGGTACCGGGGTCGATTCCAGCTCCGGCCTCCCCGTGTGGAGTTTGCATTTTCCCCCCGGGCCTGCGTGGCTTTTCTCCGGGTACTCCGGTTTCCTCCCACATTCCAAAAACATGCGTGACAAGCTGATTGAACACTCCAAATTGTCCTTAGGTGCGAGTGTGAGCACGGATGGTTGTTGGTCTCTGTGTGCCCTGCGATTGTCTGGCGACCGGTTCAGGGTGTCCCCCGCCTACTGCCCGAAGACGGCTGGGATAGGCTCCAGCGCCCTACAAGACCCTTGTGAGAATAAAGCGGATCGGAACATGAATGAATGAATTTGAAGAGGAATGTCCTTTTTGACTTAAGGGAGGAAAGTGACAAGTTTCTGATTCGTCAATGAAAATTGACAAAATCCTTGACAGATGAATCAACGGTTGGATTTGTTGCAGCCCTCGCTCGTACTGCAACTTGCGGACCACGAGTCGGCGAAGGATAAATGAGGTCCGGCTCACCTTGCTTGTGGCGGTGGCAGAAGATCCGGGCAGCACGGGGGTGTTGGTCACCTGGACCGACAGGTATTTGTTGTGAATGAGCGGCCAGGCGCCCTCCACCTTACACGTCTGGAAGTCGTCGCCAAAGGTTCTCAGGTGAGGGTCTCCGAAGAAGCCGCAGTGCGTGAAGTTGGGCTGCGCGGCGTTGCGCGGGAAGCCGCGCTCGTAGTGGCAAACCTCCGGGCCGTCCGAGCGCTCCTGGCTGTCGGGCGGCAGCGGCGGCGCCGCCGCGGGCGGGAGCGGCGTGCGGCC